TATATCTATATATATATACACACACACACACACTCACCAGCCACTTTATTAGGTACACCTGTTCAATTGCTTGGTAACAGAAATTGCTAATCAGCCAATCACATGGCAGCAGCTCAATGCATTTAGGCATCTAGACGTGGTGATGACGACTTGCTGAAGTTCAAACCAAGCATCAGAATGGGGAAGAAAGGGGATTTAAGTGACTTTGAACATGGCATGGTTGTTGGTGCCAGACGGGCTGGTCTGGGTATTTGAAAAAACGCTGATCTAGCGGGATTTTCACGCAAAACCATCTCCAGTGTTTACAGAGAATGGTCCGAAAAAGAGAAAATATCCAGTGAATGGCAGTTATGTGGACAAAAATGCCTTGTTTATGTCAGAGGTCAGAGGAGAATGGGTAGACTGGTTCGAGATGATAGAAAGGCAACATTAACTCAAATAACCACTGGTTGCAACCAAGGTATGCAGAATACCATCTCTGAACACACAACACGTCAAACCTTGAAGCAGATGGGCTACAGCAGTAGAAGACCACACCGGGTGCCACTACTGTCAGCTAAGAACAGGAAACGGAGGCTACAATTCGCACAGGCTCACCCAAAATTGGACAATAGAAAATTGGAAAAATGTTGCCTGGTCTGATGAGTCTTGATTTCAGCTGCAACATTCAGATGGTAGGGTCAGAATTTGGTGTAAACAACATGAAAGCATGGATCCATCCTGCCTTGTATCAATGGTTCAGGCTGGTGGTGGTGGTGTAATGGTGTGGGGGATATTTTCTTGTCACACTTTGGGCCCGTGATGCTATCATGTCAATATGGACCAAAATCCCTATGGAATGTTTCCAACACCTTGTTGAATTTATGTCATGAAGAATTAAGGCAGTTCTGAAAAGAAAATTCCTGTGGCAGCGCTGTCTCCGCCCCCACACCGCTCTGCCGGACTGTGATAGGCGGCTGAGTGGTGTGGGAGGAGAGACGCCAGGGAATCTAGGTGTGGCCCAGGGCAAAGTTTTAAGGAAGTACTGATCTTTTCTTTGCTGCATTTTTGCATTTTTCTCCTCTGTAATGTAATGTATTGTAAAAACATCAAAGGGCATTTTATTCCATGTATATGCACTATACACCTATTTCTGCTTTAGAAAATGTTGGGAGTTATGTGGCCATAGGGAAGACCCATCCATTGCCAGTGTCACTGCATACTGTTAGGAGTTTGGGGTAGAGAAATCCAGCGATTAGATATCCAAACTGCAGTTAAAGGAGAACTATGAGGTGAGTGCTTTTCACTCATCCTCATAGTTCTAGCCGACCTGTGACAATGAAACTGTACACAGGTCGGCTCAGTAGATTGGGAATTAGATAGGCAGAGCCAGCTGTCACTCACGCAGCTGGGCGGATCCTGGCACAATTGTTGGGATCCGTTTCAGCTGTGGTTTAGGGTGACGGGAGGACGCTAGTTTGTGTCCTCCCGTTACCCTTAGGAGAACTATGGGGAAAAGCCCTAACCCCATAGTTCTCCTTTAACAGTTCTCCTCAGTTGCCATGACCATTTCAAATCTAGATATTACACTCCTTCACAATGCAGAATAAATACATAACTATCTATCTGTGAGTAAATTCTGTTATTATGGCCTTATTGAGACAGGTGGACACAATTCTTGGTCATGACATCAGTTTCATAGAAATGCTGTGCCATGGTTTGAACCATGATGGCGAGGCAGGACATTAT